ATAATAATAATAATAATAATAATAATAATAGTAGTAGTAGTAGTAGTAGTAGTAGTAGTAGTAGTAGTAGTAGTAGTAGTAGTAGTAGTAGTAGTAGTAGTAGTAGTAGTAGTAGTAGTAGTAGTAGTAGTAGTAGTAGTAGTAGTAGTAGTAGTAGTAGTAGTAGTAGTAGTAGTAGTAGTAGTAGTAGTAGTACTTCATATGCAAATCTTTCAACAATAATCGCAAACTTCATCATCCCTTCATTACTATTACAACTAATCTCTTTTTACATTCCTATTCTCTTCGATTCGGTCTTCACAATATTCTGCTACCAGTTGTTTCACTTCCTTTTGGAGTTACATACTACTTATCACTTAATATATAAGTAGCTTACACCACATTATTAGTAGAAGAAGAATAAATAGTTTATTAATCTTTAGACGTTAATGTAAACATTCCTTTCCTTCATTTTGAAATTCTATACTAATAGACAACAGTAAATCCGAACCTTATTAACGAATCTTAGTGGTCTGACGCTTAAGCGCTCGCAGGCGAGACTGATTGGTTCTGAGTTTGAATCTCGTGATCGTGGATGCACAATGCTGAGGAGTCCCATACTGAGACGAAACGGACGTCTAGTGCTTACAGGTCTAGCTTCAACTGACTCATGATTTCAACTGTTGAGGAAAATATTGTTTGCTTATATTTATGTTGTCCTGATTTTAAAAGTGACGTTCCAAGTTCCACTGTTAGTTGTCATCCAAACTTGATTAGAAATTGTTGCTATGAGTAGTGAAACATACAAAATACACATTCATACATCAAAGTGTAATTCATTAATTAATCAATGCAGAGTAATTGTTCTTGGTTATGAGTGTGATTTGTATACTAAATTCATAGTTTTCAATGTATATTATAATGTACAACTAGTTGGTATACTGTTAACTATGTTGATAAAACTGTAGTCTGATTCAATGAAGATTCTAATGTATGATCTGTTTAATGAGATTTCTGTTGCTGTCGTTGTTGTTGTTACACAACATCACTGTGTGAGAAATGGACTATGAGTACCGATTAAATCATGTTGAACTATAGAGACTTGTTAGTCTGTAACCGTAACTAGACGTGATAAATCGTTCAGAGATCATTGGTTCTTATTATAATTACAAATACATCTTGTTATATCCCGATGAGAATAATGAATGGTAACTAGTGAGTGCTATTTCTGAACCAATATGATACTTGTATCTGTTTATTGTATGATTGTTAAGCTGTTTAGTTGTGCATATTCATGTTGCTCTTATTATGATCTTTATTCTGATCTATGGATGATTATGATACGATTGACCGTTCTTCATTTATGTCCAGTCTATTCATTACAGTCTCCCACATTCACAACCACATTTGTCTAGATCTTGTACAAATGTGTATTTTGTATTTAATGGTACGATATGGTCTGTTTTGCTGGTGTACATAAACCCATTATGTTTGAAATACATGATTGATATGTTGTAGGCTGAGATTGGTGTCGTGGATTGAAGAGGCAGGGCTAGTCTGGAAGTACTGCCAATAATGACTGTAGACTGCTCGTACTTCGTTTATGCGTCATTGGTCCGGTCGATAAGTCACTGTTGGTGGTATCATCACTTCATATATTGATAGAGTCACAAGGCCACAAGTTATGACACGTCTTTTGAACTTGTGGTAAATGGTATTTGTTACTGTGATTTTCACTGATATCAATAGGAATGACGAGACTATAATTTATGGACGAACCAATCATGTATAAGATTTTGTGTTCTGGATTGAACGGGGAGGTCTACGCAGGAAGCATGATCGATAATGACTGTAGACTGCTCGTACTTCGTTTATGCGTCATTCGTCCGATCGATAATTCACTTTTCTTTAATTGTCAATATCATTACGTTATGTATTAATAAGCCGTAATTTGTTTGTATGTAAAGTAGGGAGTACTTAAGACGTGCCTATGCAATTTGGTACTGTTAGATTTAGAACTTAGTGCGTTTTGATCTTTTCAGGAGTATATCCCTTTTTAAAGTAATTTCCTTTGCCATAAATATTATCTTTCTCACCTTCAGTACAATTGAATTCCAGAGCTGTTTACTAGAACTTAAAGAACACTTCTGTTTATCCTAAATTTTTTTCAGCTCAGTGATTATTGATAGAAAACTACTGTTGATGTTCTACTCCTCTCTATTTACTTAGTAATTTCACGCTCCATACTCCACTTAATACATATGAACTGACTCCTTGTTATAGTTATAAATTTATGCTGATAAATTAGCCGTTATCAGTATGAGGTTGTGGAGATTGTTAATTTTTTAATTGAGACCATGAATTGATCAACGTTAGACCATCAGTCAAAACCTGAAAGGACTTTATGGTAATTTCATCCTAGTATAGGACACCTGATCAGTGCGCATCGACTATCTCCCATTACGTGACTCAAACACAAGATGTTTGATCTCGAGTAAGAACTTTTAACCTCTAAACCACTGAGCCACCATCGAACACTGTTAATATCTAACGACTGTCCAGTGCTTCTAGATTTTCAATGGTGATCTAACATCAATCGATTCATGATCTCAAACGGAATAAACTAACCGTTCACCGCTCTCTATTATTCGTTTAGTATACATACACACATATAAACATATATTATAATAGCATAATTAGTATTACACTAAGTATATTCTTACTAACTTACATAACCTCAAGATCAAACAAAAAGATGAAGACCAAAGATTGCACTACGATGAGAAATGAGGACAAACATGAGAAGAATAAACAAGAATTAAATAGGACTAGAAAGGAAAGCCCAGGACAGAGGAGGTAGGAAAATATTGGTCAGTGGCCTATACTCTATTGTGAGTAACAAATTTAAGTAAGTAAGTAAATAAGTAAGTAAGTAAGTAAGTAAGTAAGTAAGTAAGTAAGTAAGTAAGTAAGTAAGTAAGTAAGTAAGTAAGTAAGTAAGTAAGTAAGTAAGTAAGTAAGTAAGTAAGTAAGTAAGTAAGTAAGTAAGTAAATAACTCAGCAACTCACATGACGTATAATATGGATAAGTTAAAAACACTTATGAAAAAGTTTTTAAACATTAAAATATTACAAAAACATTTTCATGAATAAATAAAATTAAAAAAAAGAAAGAAAATAATCCCTTAATAGAATAAACTTATCCTCTTCACCCCCTTTCATTGATTTTCCCACCATCCCATCCCATCCTAATCCCATTCCACCCCACCTTCATTGACTCGTTAACATAAATGATCAAGTTAATTCAATTTAGAAATAAATACATCGATCAGTTCAAAAAAAACAGAAATGGTTCCTTGTTCCAAATTACTTTTGTTCTCTTTTCTCTTTTCTCTCTTCTTTTAAACATTTTTATTATCTCTAATCTGAACTATTCTAATGATCTCCTTCTTTATTCTTGTTTTTTCTCGCTGATAATAATTTCTTTCTTTTTTTCTTTTTTTTTCGAACTTTTCACCTAATTGATTAGTTTTTCTTTTTTTCTTTCTTTCTTGGAAACTTTTCTCTTTTTTTCTTGTTGTTGTTGTTGTATGAATTGAAGTTTGTTGAATAAAATAAAACTGTTTTCTGTTAATTTTCTTTTAATGATGGTCGCCATATCAACTAGTTTAATAACAACATGGAAAACATTAACTCAATCATATTTGATTGAGAAACAGTTTCCCACCTGGAACAGATAGGAACTTTCATATTATCTGTGTAGTATCATCGAAGAAAAAGAAGAATTGAATGAAGATGTTAAGCTAAGGATTGACAGAGGTAGGACAGCATTCCTACAATTGAAGAACGTATGGATTTTAAAACAACTGTCTATCGATCAATATCAAAGTCACAATCTTCAATACAAATGTCAAGATATTTCTACTATACGGAGCTGAAACTTCGAGAACTAATACAACCATCATCGAGAAGGTAAAAGTATTTATAAGCAGTTGTCTACACATGATACTCAATGTCCGTTAGTAGGGTACCATCCACAACAGCCTATTTTGAAAGAGAATAAACCAAATTTCAATTGAAGAAAATCAGAAAAAGACATTGGAAGTAAGTAGAAAACACACTGCGGAAATCATCAAAATGCATCACGAGGTAAGCGCTAACCCGGAATCCTGAAGGGAAGCGGAAAACAGAAACGTTAAAGAACACATTACGTCGGAAATTGTAAGCAGTTATGAATAAGATGAATAACAACTGCAAAGAATTGGAAAGGATTTCCCAGGAAATGGTTTGATGAAGAATGCTTGTTGGCAGATTATGCTTCTTGACGAAAGGTAACAAACATAAGTAACATTACATCAAGTTGTGTATAAGTGGTTGAACTTCACTGATCACAGGTTCCTAATAAAACTTTGTAAACGCCCTCTTAAAATCAATCACGCATGTTAATCAACGGTGTGGAGTTATGGAATAAAAATCCACAAAAAATGGAATGTTGGAATGAGAATTACAGAGGACAGTGAATGATGGTTATAGAATATCGTGGATTGATTTAAAGATAAACTTTTATACCGCCAGATTCAAGCTTATTAATTCATAGTTGAAGTGTTCAAGCATGAGACTGAAGATTCTTAGTTTGATTTCTGATTTCAAATTGATAGATATGAACCAATGAAGAGTACCATACTATGACGATACTTCCATTCAGTGTTTCCAGATTTTTGCTAGTTGTCTTAGTTGTATCAGATTGGCTAGCAGTGGAATCCAGGACGCGCGTTTCATCCTGTTTGGGTTTCGTCAGCTGGGTTTACCTTCATCCCAGTGTTGATGTTCACTCTGGGACTCCAACTCAGTAACATTCGCTTCAAACGCCATCGCGTTATCCACTTAGCTACTAAGTCCTATATGAGATTGTGATCTCAACTAATTATACTTTACTGAAGTATCCTTATTACATCATCATCAAATATAAAATGATAAAATGAGTTTAAAAAGGTTCATAATATTCAATAATTAACTTTTACCTGGAGGTCCAGGTTTACCTTCATAAAATTTCATTTCATTACAATCTATTGAAAGACCACGACAAATATCCCGGAACATATCAATCTATAAAATTTTAAAAAAAACCCAAATGGATACCAGGATGTTAGCGAAATTAAAACAAACAATAAACATGAAGTAGTGGTTTGGTTTAAGATCATGAATCAGTTGATGATCCGGTAAGCGAGATCGTGGATGCATACTGTTGAACAGGCCGATAATAGGATGAAACGGTCGTCCAGTGCTTCTAGGTTTTCAATGAGAGAGGTAGACATCAACTGATTCATGATATCAATCAAAATGGAATACAGTTCGTTTAACAATGGACAACAATACTGTTAATAGAGTTGGAAATAAATTCTTAAAGCTTTCATCATGGATCGATCTTAGTTGAACAATAATTTAAAGTAAAAAAGCATTGAACAGTTTCGTAATTCTAGTATGGTACTCTTCAGAAATATGTGACCAAATATTCATCGATGATCAAATCATGAACCTCCGAGACTTTTAGTGAGCACTTAACTTTTAAACCGCTGAACTGTCATCCATACGCTTCAATTCAATCTTCTGAAGCTTCTTCTGTCGGGTATTCCACTTCCGATTGGTGTTATACACTACTTATATCTGTTATCATAAGTAGTGTGCACCACAAAACCACTATACCGATCAATTGTTATGCTAGTATAAATGTGAGTGTATTACACAACATTTTCCTGTTCAGTAACTCACGTTTTGGCCACAATACCATAAAGGTAAAGCATCTAAACGTAGTATGTCATATTACTGCTCACTGGTTAACGTTGGGGCATTTGTTTACGAGTACAATTTACATTTAACGAATGAATTTATAGACCTTTTTTACTTGAGGACTTGTGTGTTTGTCTCAAATTACTGTTGCATTTGACGTGTGTTAGAGATGATATCGAACCCTTTCAAGGCGAACTAGAACAAATACGACAAACTACTTTAAATGACCTATTTCTGTCTACTACATAACTGTTATAGATCAAATGTGACAGAATCGAACTGCGTACTGTCTCAGTCATACTTTTTCACAACCATGAAGTTATTTGTGTCACTAACTCGTTCGGTTAGTTATCAAAATATACACTGGATATACATTTATCCACAGGAGCAGCTGAATTTCCAGATATACATGGATGTGGTGAAACTAAATAACTTATCCTTTAGATGAGGAACCGCCATAGGTTGACTAGGAATTGGTATACAGAAGTTAATTGCAGTAAAATTCTTCTTCATTGCTTTAGTTAGTCTATCTATTATGTTTATTTATGTAATCTGTTTCATTATTATCACTGATTTATCAACGATTTTGACTTTCTGAATATTTTTATGCATTGTCAAATGGTACTCCTTTCACGATACCGTCTGAAGTTAGATAATCGATTCAATGTTTGACATCGTTGGACTCTATCAGTCATACAAATACACATACATTTGTCATCATAAGTTAATTCATATTCCTTTTTAACTCAATACTTTAAGACTAAATTATAATCAGAGTATAATAATCTACTTATTCCACTAATATTTCGTCATCAACTTAGAATGCTGGTTGGCGGCCTATGCTCCATTGGGAATAACAGGCGTAAGTAAGTAAGTAAAGCTAGACATCATCAACACAATTAAAGTAACTAATTGATCCTCCATGAATTAAATTTAATTGGTAAAAAAAAGATAGTTGTACGAATTCATTTTGTATTGTTTACTTGAATCTTCCTATTGATGTTAAGGACTACGAATGATCAGTTTCTTGTTGGCATATGTGCGTTCTATGTGGATTGCCTTTAAAAGCATTATAAGCAGAGATGGATGATGGCTAGCAGGATGTGCGTTTCGTCCCAATTACTACTCCTCAGTCTATGATTTAAAGCATTATCGACACAATTTGCATAGGATGCACATATGTTAATGATAGACTGATCGATTGCAGTCCGAAACATTAATGAAAAGATTCAAGCAAACAATACAAAATGAATTCAAACTTCACTTCATTGTACAAACTAATGACTATCAGAGCTCAGTAGCTAAGTGGATAACGCGATAACATTTGAAGCAAACGGTAATGAATTCAAGTCCCAGAGAGAAGAACATCAACTCTGTGATGCAGTTACATCCATCTGACGAATCTCAAGCGGGACGAAACGCCTATTTTAGATTCCATCATTCATCTTTACTTATGATATTTGTAAGTTTCAATTATTTTTTTTCTTATGCTTACAAATCTAATTTACTAATGTCTTGAATGATAATCATAATTATTATCTATTTAAGATCGTTTCTTCCCTTCGCACCAACACTCTCTTCAACCAATTCATAAATAAACAAACAAACAATGACCGCAATAGAATCTTAATATTTCTCTTCAATTATTTTGTTTGGTTTTTTTGTTTTTTTTTGCGTTCTTCTTAAAAATGATTGTAAGAAATAGAATTAAATTTGACCTAAATTAGGTTGTTGATGTTGTTGTTGTTGTTGTGGTGGTGGTGGTGGTGATAGGGGTGGTTGTTGCTGTGGTTGTTTTTTTTCTTTCTTTAGTTAGTAGACCAACACTTATTCTCAATATTGTTCTTCTCTCTCTTTCTTTTCTTTTTACCCCCCCCCTCCTATCTAACCAGAAGCATGGAAAAAAAAAATAAACAAATTTGATGTGTATAATTAATATGAGAAATAGAGGTCAATTGGTTTTTCTAATCATTTTTTGTTTATTGATGATACATTAATTAGTGCAAAGGTGGGGGGGGGAGGGAAGGGGAAATTTGACGAATTTGTAGAATTTTCATTATTTAAATTATGAATTGATCATAGATTGAACAGCCAGTGAAAACCTAGAAACATTTGATCATTATTTATTTAAAGTATGAGACTCCTTAACAGTGCCGGTTCTTGTTCAATCACCACAGTTAAGTAACATTGGACCCGGTCAATACTTGCATGGGTGACCGGCTGGGAATAACGGGTGTCGCTAGCTTTAAAAAAAAGCCCTCAAATGCTCTGAGATGACCAAGAATGGAGAAAGTTCACTCTTCTCCAGGTGTGGATGTGTTTTAAGAAATTAAGAGGGTGGAAAGCGAATATCCGGAACTTTAACTGGGTAGGTGAATATGAATGATCTACATAGGGGAGTTGGAAAACCCTGATTCTAAACCAATGGTGCACCTGGGCTTCAGGATTCTGGGGAAATAAATGGCATATGAACCTTCAGTACATTCTATCGTAATTTAACTTTTAATACACATATTATTGAACTAGCCCTTTAAAATGACTCAATTGTAACGTTTTCTAATATACAACTAGCTGGGTAATTTTACCGGAAGATGTATATACTACTTATAATAACCTAGAACTATTGAATCTAACGGAAGCATTCAATCGATCTTTTTAAAGAACTTGTCGGAAAAATGGAGTTATTACTATTGGTTTTTATCAGCATTTCAACTTAATCAAAGAATTTAATCAACAACTGTAGGAGGTTCCTTTTGTGTGGAGTTAGCAAATTATGCCTCCAGAAGTAGAAATATTCAAAATATGATTATGGCTACTGGATTAAGGCATAACAGTTTCCTCGAGCCATAGACCTAATGGTCCGATCCACAAGACAATGGAGCGACGCCAGTGACCAACAATTGGTTCATATGCCATTTGTTCCTTCAGGGTACTGAATCCAATGTACACCATTGGTTTGTAATCCAGGTTTTCCAATTGCCCTAGATAAATCCTCCACATCCACTAACACATTCAAAGCGTCGAACATTCTCTTTTCGTCCTCTCAATTTCGTAAACAACACCCGTGATGCAAAAATGTTGTGAATAGGACTTCCCTGTCAGTGGTTGTATGCACGTAGTCATGTAAGAGCATTCGGAGAAAGGTAGAGCTGAATCTCCCCACTGTCAGCAGTACCAGGGCATCTGGAAGCAAATCTATGTATATTAATCAATTAACCATGTCAATTCTCAGATAATACACATAAACCGAAATAAATGATACTTAATTTCATTAACAGAATGTTAAGTGTCATAAATTGAAAATATTCCATGACATTAAATGAAAATTTGTAGAAACTTCCATGTATGTAATAAGTGATCAATTTCGATGGACCACATTATACTAAATACCCTTCTATATTCATCTTGTTCAGTTGACAATTATGTGTAATGGAGTTATTATGAAAATCAAGAATTCATTCGTTCGTTTGTTCGTTCCTTCGTTTGATCCTTTGTTCGTTTCTTCTAAATCGTCGAATAATTCATTTTGAAAAGGTGAGATTATAATTTATAGATGAACTAATCAGATTTAAGATTAAAAGATCTCGGATTTTGGCGCTGAATTCATTTATTCATCCATTTGGCTAAATAGAGTTTTAGCATTATAACTGATGTCATTTCATGATGAAAATTCTAAATCTAATTTCTAACCTAAATCTTAATTCTTATTTTTCAAACTGCTTCAGAATCTCAATAGTTGAAATTATGAGTTAATTGAAGCTAAATCACCATGAAAAATCGGGAAGCACTGGACGACCGTTTCGTTTTAGTACGGGATTTCTCAGCAGTGTGCATCCATAATCCCGTCCCTTACGAGATTTGATTCTAGGACCTCTCAGTATCGCGCGAGATCGTTTAACCATTAAATCACTGAGTCGACATTTAACAGTGTTAATATCATAAACTTTATTTAGTTTTACTAAATAGATTAACACTCTCAACGTCACTTTAGCCTCTCATTAAGGTCGTTTATAAATTATAATCTCACTTATTAGAATTATTTATATCAGCTATTGGCTAACTGAACATTGAATAATTTAAGCAATTAATATGAATGTAACTTGTGTTAAATGAGAGATACTACGCCTAACTTAGGGTCTGAAAAGTCGGAAAAATGAAAATTTCGCAAGTGCTATAAAAATGATCTTGATGGTCTAGTTATAGTATTCCAACATCAGACAGTCGGTTTTAAGCCTTATTTAAGCCCTAACGCTTCAGGCTGGGCTATTTCGCTTACTACCCTTTACATGTGTTGTATGCAGTATAAGCTAAGCTATATGGCTATATAGAGCAGAAGGTCTCATATGAGGCTGGAGGTTTGCCATTGTTATTGTGAATGGTTCGGAATTGCTTTGGCAAGTTTTGCTGACGGTTTGTGCAAAAATTGGTTTGCTGGTTAACCGATTTCATTCATACTGGTGGTTGCTTTTCAGTGTTCCCGAGGACCATTGCTAACATTAATGAGTTTGACTGTCGTATAAGCGGACTAGGTCAACTTTGACCTGTTCGTTCTGTGCATAATTGATTCACGCGGTCATTGATCGGAATAACTACACATGTGACGTAAATGCGTACATGAATGGTGCGAATGGCTGACCAGGGTGCTTGGTATCTGTGTGGTTGCATCACAGGATTGAGCTTTACTATTCAGATTGTAGCTTTAAAGCTTATACGGTGTCTGGTTCCCCTGCTAGACGGGATTGAGCTGTACTGTTCGGGTTTTTACGTGAAAGTCCGGATGGTGTCTGGTTCTCCTGAAAACCAATGTAAAATTACCCTGGCCCACAAGGGTATATTATATAATATATAATTATGTTAAATGGAATGTTTTTGTCTGTGTTATGTTTGCCGAATTGAATAGCTTGATTGAGAGGTTACCGTTGTACTTCTGATCAAATTCACTAACGATTATATTGAGGAGAAGTCATTGATTTTACTATCGTAAATGACAATTTAAACATGAGGTTCAAAGTATGCAAATACAAAAAACATCCATCTGATTTGTGAGTGTTATTGGCGTTCGAATATTTAACTCCAAGCAGATCAAACAAATGATCGCTATTGTATGAATACTGTCGCAGTATAAATCTTGGCTATTCTCGTAAATAATCATCGACTTAACTTGTGTTGGTCAATGGTACTGCGTTCAATTTTTGGAGTGAATATCAAATCTGAGATGCAAGTAAATCCAGTTGACAAGACTCAAGTAGGACAAAATGAGTGCTCTGGATTCCAATACTAGCCACTATCCATCTTTGCTTGGAAGGCATACATTTTGTGCAAGTTAAATTCATTTATTGAACATTGAATATGTGCATTGGGCGGAACAATTGATATTTTATATAATGGCTTCAAGTATAAGCAAAGATGAATAGTGGCTAGCAGTGGAATCCAGGACGCGCATTTCGTCCTGTTTGGGACTCGTCAGCTGGATGTACCTGTATTTCAGAGTTGATGTTCACTTTGGGACTCGAACTCAGTACCGCTCGCTTCAAACGCCATCGCGTTATCCACTTAGCTACTGAGTCCTGATAGCCATTTGCTCGTGCAACGGGGTGAAGTTTAATTCACTTGGTATTGTTTTACTTGAATCTTCCCATTGATGTTTTAGGACTGAAATTGATCAGTCTCTTATTGGCAATATCAAGGCATACGCACAGTATACACATATGCCAATAAGTGACTGATCAATTACAATCCTAAAACATCAATGGGAAGATTCAAGTAAAATAATACCAAGTGAATGTCTTTAAGTAGTTTATAGATTTACACGTTTTCTATTTATTTATTTTAACACATAGATATTGGTACAAGGAGACACCAAATACATATGTGCCACATAAATCTCATTCGATATGTGTGAGGGCTGTGATACTGCCCGGGTGCCCAAACGGAAACAGGTGGCTTTCTTAGGGGGCCACACCCGGAGCCTACGACCGAATGGTCTGACCCACAAGGCGGTGGAGCATCGTGAGGAGATGGAGTCCCATGGAAGCCGGTGACCAACGATTGGTTCATACGCCATTTGTTCCCGCAGGATACTGGAGCCCATGTGCACCATTGGTTTGGAATCTGGTTAAAGCGCCGGACATTCGTTTTTCGTCCTCTCATTTTCGTGATCTAGATCCTGCGAATAGATATATTTCAACTGTGAAAATCAATTGAATTTTCTATTCAAAAAGATTTGGGAGGAGGAACAAGTGCCGATGGACTGGAAAGAAGGGCACCTCGTCAAGATTCCAAAGAAAGGAGATCTGAGCAAATGTGAAAACTACAGGGCATTACGCTGCTGTCAATATCAGGGAAGGTCTTCAACAGAGTGTTGCTGAACCGGATGAAGGATGCAGTAGACGCCCAACTTCGAGATCAACAAGCTGGATTCCGTAAGAATCGGTCGTGCACAGACCAAATTGCAACACTACGGATCATCGTCGAACAATCAGTTGAGTGGAACTCATCACTATACATCAACTTCATTGATTATGAAAAAGCATTCGACAGTGTAGATAGGAGGACATTATGGAAACTTCTTCGACACTACGGAGTTCCTGAGAAGATTGTCAACATTATCCGGAACTCATACGACCGACTACATTGCAAAGTCGTGCATGGAGGACAGCTGACAGATGCATTGCAAGTAAGGACCGGAGTAAGACAAGGCTGTTTACTCTCTCCCTTCCTCTTTCTTCTGGTGGTCGACTGGATTATGAAGACTTCGACATCTGAGAGAAAACATGGCATACAATGGATAGCTAATAACCAATTAGACGATTTGGACTTCGCAGATGACCTAGCCCTCCTATCGCATACACATGAACAGATGCAGACAAACACAGCCAGCGTGTCAGCAATCTCTGCATCAGTAGGCCTCAGCATACACAAAGGAAAACCAAAGTCCTCAAATTCAAGGCGGAGAACAGCAATCTCATCACTCTTGATGGCGAAACTCTGGAAGGTGTACAATCCTTCATGTACCTGAGAAGCATCATCGATGAACAAGGTGGTTCAGATGCAGACATAAAGGCAAAGATTGGCAAATCAAGGGCCACATTCCTACAGTTGAAGAACATATGGAACTCAAAACAACTTTCAACCAATATCAAAGTGAGAATCTTCAATACGAATGTCAAGGCGGTCCTACTGCACGGAGCTGAAACTTGGAGAACTACAACTACCACCATCAAGAAGGTACAAGTATTTATAAATAGCTGTCTTCGCAAGATACTCAACATCCATTGGCCGGATACCATCAGCAACAGCCTTTTGTGGGAGAGAACAAACCAACTTCCAGCTGAAGAAGAAATTAGGAAAAGACGATGGAAATGGATAGGACATACATTACGCAAATCGTCAAACGGCATCACGAGGCAAGCCCTAACTTGGGATCCTGAATGGAAGCGAAAGAGAGGAAGGCCAAAGAACACATTGCGTCGGATAATAGAAGCAGATATGAAAACGATGAATTACAACTGGACGGAGCTGGAAAGGATTGCTCAGGACAGGGTTGGATGGAGAATGCTGGTGAGCGGCCTATGCTCCTTAACGAGGAGTAACAGGCGTAAGTAAGTAAGTGAAAATCAATTCTCATCAAGACTAATAACTTTTTATCGGAGCTCAAACATTATTCTAACAGATAGTTCTATTTATGGTTTATACTTAATCAAGTAGTTGAAATCATTTGATTGATTTGAATTATAACGCGCAGATCCAGAAAGAATTATGAGTAAAACTAAAATTTATGGACGACCTTTGAGAGATGCTAAAGTGACTTTAAGAATGTTCACATACTTAGTAGAGATAGATGTGGGTCATAAACCTGTAGGAAGAATAGGGATCATGATTTATAATTTATGTTTAGCATTAGAATTTCATCACTGACATCAACTATAAAATGCTCAAAACGCTATTAAACCAAATGATTAAATGAATGAATTTCGCGCCGAAGTCCAGGACCTGTAATCTTGAATCTGACAGGTTCGTCCACAAATTATAGTTTTGCCACTAATTTTCATATTATATAATAGTTGAGTTTATGAGTTCATTAAAGCTAGATCATCATAGAAAATATGGATACACTGGACGTTTAGATGGTGGTTGGAGGTAGTTGACAGGAAACCCTGGACCCGGGTTTCATGTTACTTGGCACTCATCAGCAAGGTGTAGCTTTAATCTTGATGGAACTGGTGCTCTCCGGAAAATTCGATCCTGTGTCACCCAGCTTCACAGTCAGAGACACCACCACTGAGCTATCCGGGCCGTGACTGACGTCTTGCAGGGCTGAGATGTAGTCACAATTGATTGATCACTGAATGGTGATCAATGTCATGTGTGTCAAGTCCTTATTTAGTGCAGACCGAATGCTATTGACCATGTTACAATGTGGCCACCAGTCTAGGTGACTCGACACTGCGTGCACTATATATTGAGATTAGATTGTGGTTGAAGGTAGTTAACAGGATAGCATTCGATCTGCACTAACTAAGGACTTGACACACATGACATTGATCACCACCCAGTGATCAATCAATTGTGACACTGTACGTTTATTTCATCCTAGTACGAGACTCCTCAACAGTGCTCATCTGCGGCCGCACTCTCTGGATTCAAACCCAGTGTAGTGAGGATAATTGAATGTTTCTGACACGAAATTACAGAACATGTCACTAAAATCTGGGAACCATGTAGTAAATAGTTAATTTCCAAAATATCAATCCATCGTCTCAAACTTCATTGTTCTTTTTGCAAATATCAGTCCATTATCTCAGATTTCATTGGTCATGCATTTTTATACCAATTGTGTTTCTTTTCCGGTCTTTCCTTATCGATCTTCTACTGAAATACATTCTACCAGCCTGCCCACCGTTATATACTACTTATACGGATAGAATTAACCTACACCACACTAGGACCTCCAGTTTCACAATCGAATACTTAACCTCTATCCCATTGAGTCATCTAATGCTTCTAAATTTCCACTGATATTCTAACTTTCATCGACTTATGAATTCATTAATCTTCACAAACCACCACCTCACCCCACCCCTCAATTTCGATATTAATTATTGTAACTATATAGAATAAAGTTAATTTACTTTCACTGGTTGAAATCATGAGTCAATTGAAGTTAGACCATCATGGAAAACCTGGAAGGACTGGATGGCCGTTTCGTCATGGTATGGGACTCCTCAGCAGTGCGCATCGACGACCCCGCACCCTACGGGATTCGAACCCAAGAATTAAAAAAAAAATAAAACTCACATTCACTGAAGGCCATAATCTATTACTCTGTATACTTTTCAATAAAATAGATTTTTTTTCTGAATACAGATCATTATTATTACGATCCTTCTTATGATCACCATCCATTTCATGATTAGAAATCAATAATAAACTTGGATCTAAATGATCATTATTATTATCCGTATTATTGATTTGATCAATATATTCCAATTTATTGATTAATTGATTTTCAATAAATTGTAATTTTTGATAAAATTGATAATAATAATGATAATAGAAACTAATTCCTAAACTAATTATTATTATTGTAATGAATAGATTCCATATGAATAATAATTTACTTTGATAAATTAGATGATCTAAATGAATACGATTCTGTTGTATTAATTTAGGATCTATTCGATTTGTTATTGATAATGATGATGATAATGATGATGATGTAATCAAATTAGGTGTCCGTAATGAACTAGAAACATTATTATTGCTATTATTAGTAGTATTTGTAATAGTAGTAGTAGTATTATGAGTAGTATTGTTAGTAGTAGTATTTGTATTTAATTGTTTCTTATGAAAATCCATTCGATTATATCCATTCTGCATAGTTTTATGTAAATCTATACATTGATTATTATATTGTTGATCAAGTGAATGATTTGTATAATATGAATTAGATTTTAATGTACAATTATCAATATCAGTCTGAGGATGAGGATGAAGAGGAGGAGGATGATAATGAGGAGGATGAGGAGGAGGATGATGATTTAAGGTTGATTTGTTTAAATTATTCGATTGAATAGTATACTGTTGAAATGTTCTATATGGAATAGATTCTATATTAAATTCATTATGTTCTGTTGTATTCGGATTACTTTGAATTGAAGTTAACATGAAAGATGAATGATAGTTGTATATTTAGTTGATATTAATGACAATTTCATTATTATTCTTTCACTAATTCAATAGGATAAATATAAAACAAAGAAAAGGATACTGTTATATCCCAATGAGAATAATCAATGGTAACTGTTGGGATCTATTTACGGACTGATACTATATGTATATTTTTATTCTATAACTGTTAAGTAACTAAACTATCTGCATATTCAATGTTCCTCTTATTATAAGCTTTATGTTGACCCATAGACTATTATTCTACGATTTACCATTATTGAGTTATACCCAGTCTATCAATTACTATCTCCCACATTCACGGCCACATTTGGCTCAATCTTGTATTAATGTTGTTTTTCTATTTTATGGCACGATGTGGTCTGTTTGGTTGGTGTATATAAACCCAGTATGTTTGAAATAAACGATTCATATTGCAGAGGCTGAGATTGGTTTTCTGGATTCGAACAGGTAGGCAGAGCTAGGCAGGATGAAGGACCAATAAAGACTCTAGACTGTGCGTACAGGTTTGATGTGTCGTTGGTCCGGTCGACAACTCACTGTTCTCTAATTAGTGGTATCACTACGTCACAAGGCCTACAAGTTATAACTGTTACATAAGTCGAAATCTCTATAAAAGTGAGTTACATATTTTAATGTACAAATTTTGTGTTTGACTACTCCTAGAATACTGAACGTCTATTCTTAGTAGTGAGCGTATAAAGGATAAATGAAGATTGACATCAGTGCAGAGACGATATACACTTTGTATTCTTGGAACTGATTGTACCTTGACTTATAATTCAACATGTGATACATTCGGGCTCGAGCCTTTGTGGAAAAAGAAACTCAGGTCAAATCATATCTTTTTCTTCAAAATACTTAATCAACTAGCCCCCAAAATGCCCTGGTATGTTTGAGAGTGAATAAAGTTAGCTCTCCTACTCCAAATGCTCTCAAGTGGTCCCATGCATAGAACCACTGACAGGGAATTCCTATTCACTACATTCTCGCAGCATTATTGTTGTTTACAAATTGAGAGGACGAAAAGCGAATGTCCGAAGCTTTAACGGAGTTGGTGGATATGGAGGATACATTTAAGGGAGTTCGAAAACCCCGATTCCAAACCAATGGTGTACATGAGCTACAGGATACTATACGAACAAATGTAGTATGATCATTAAGAAATAATGTTTCTCAGTGATAATTACGCAGGGTCACTATGTTAAGCCATAGGTTTTCGCGCACATGTTACATATTTTCGAGGATTTGGAGATGTTGTTATTTATCAACAATTAACAGCACTATTTTTTCTGCCACACATCAATTTTCATCATGTTTGTGCTAGTTACATGGGTTTTATTCTAGTTAATTAGTAGTTTGACATATTAGCTGCTTACAACCTCAGTGAAGGTTTAGTCATCCTAATGTGGTTATTTGTAACAATGCTAAATTAAGCAAGTGAAATTCACCATCAAATCAATATTAGATCGTAATCAGAGGTTTATGTAAAAATAAGTTCTAACATATTTTACATTTGATTCACTTCCCTAATTATTATGATGGCGAATATGGATGTTGGTAGTTGTTATGAAGTAACAATCGATCCAACGTGTGCTGTACAAGACGGAGAGAGCTAAATCAATGTTCTTTGCAATGAGTTTATGGAAATGTTACAGCAAAAGACCACTAAAATAGGAGAACACTTAGTATTCATTCATACAACCCAAAAGACAGCTAACAAACCTACAGCATTTGAAATACGAAATGACCGCCTTTTGTGAGGCCTTTCTAAGTCGTTGAAACGGAATGGCGGGCAGTTTTGAAAGGATCTAACGTTTTACTGTGCCTAATAACTCTCTATAAAGTATGTTAATACTTTCAACCAATCTATCTATCTATCTATCTATCTATCTATCTATCTATCTATATATATATATATATATATATATATATATATATATATATACCAGAAAAGAGAAGAAAATCTATATCTTATTCTGTTTCTATGTAAAGGTCAGTTAGAAAATTAGATTTATGTTGAACTGAAACATACAACACAATCTAAATTGATGTTTAACCTTGATTTTATTCATGTTTTCAATCCAGAGAAATATAGTTCATTTTGTTAAGAAAAGGTTTGAAACATTTCAGTATTAATGTTAAGGAATATAATTGATGAGTTTTATTTGGCTTAATATACATCTTGAGTGTACTGAATTGTTGAAAGCGGATAAGACATACATTGAAGAAAGCTCACAACTGCGCCATAAGGCTAGCCCTCATCACTTGAAATCCTCAAGGCCAAAGAAGAAGAGAAAGATCATAAAATACAATACGCCGATAAATGGAGACAGACATAAGAATAATGAACAACAGTTGGATAGAGCTAGAAAGGGAGGTCGAAGACAGAGTGGGTTAGAGAATACTGGTAGTCGGTCTATACTTCATTGGTTGCAAGTAAGTAATGAAATCCAGCGTTCGTGTTTCGTTTTCGTGCATTCAATGGATGATTCTTGTATGAGCATCTTGGATTTCACTTATCCATTATCATAATTTGCTTAAGAGGAATATACTTAATAGATAAATAGGTAAATTGAAGTCTACAAGACAAGTTATGAACCACATGTGAAGAAATTCGAACGCTTTACTTCTACCTGAAGTTTGTGTTGATGATGTTGTACAAGAAGAACAATGAAAGCTCCACGACCAAACTATCCAGCTCAGAGAACAAAACTCCATCAAAAGCTAAAAACTCTGTACATAGTAAACTTATTCTTAAGAGTTCGCAAAATAACTGCATTCAATCGGAGGATATATATATATATGAATGTTTAGTAGCTGAATATGGACGTAAAGTATTTTAAAATGACAGATTACATTTCCAGCTCGAATGAATACCTTTCATGATGTCGCGCACTCCCGAATGAATAATTTCAATTGTAAAGCTTTCACTGTTATCCTAGACGAAGTACATAAAGTCATCATCTAAGGAGATATTGTTTGATGAGGATCTCAAAAGATCCTTCAATAATGAATCCCACATAGTTGATAAGATGGTACAGTATAGTTGTACAAATAATAATTACATTATTTATGTTTCCAAAGTATTACTTTATATCCAATTCTGACATAAATACCATTACAACAACAGTAGTGTCGATCACAGTCATCTTTGTAATTGATATTTTCGAGAGTATTCCTGCTAAAACCACCACCATCTTTTCCTCTTTAAGTAAATGAAACCTTATTCAAGCTTGAAAGTGAAATCATTCGTATCATTGAATATCTGAGACAAAGTTTCAGTTTTCAGATGCTTAAACAAGGAAATAAAAATTTGGCAAATCATTTGACAGTTCTTCAATTTATGCATTTAACCATTTTATTTGTACACATAAATATTGGTATAAAAAAGCACTGAATATATATGAGCTACACAAATCACTTGATTTGTGCGTGGGCTATGATACTACCCGAGTGCTCAAACCAAAGCAGGTGGTTTTCTCTGTAGACCACACTCAGAGCCTTTGATCTGAAGGTCTAATCCATAAGGCAGTGAAGCAACATTAAGTGATGCAGTCGCATGGCAGTCGATGACCAACGACTGGCTCATACACCATTTGTTTCTTTAGGATCCTAGAGTCCATGTACACCATTGCTTTGGAATGAGGGTTTCCAACTGTCCTAGATGGATCCTCCATATCCACCAACCCGGTTAAAGAGCTGGACATTCAGTTTTCGTCCTCGCAATTTCGTAAACAACATCCCCTTAGCGAGAAGGCAATGAGTAACACTTCACTGTCGGGGGTTGTATGCACATAGCCATATGAGAGCATTTGAAAAGAGAAAGCTGATACTCTCCATCTTCAGCCGTACCATGGCGTTTGGAGGCAAATCAATCTATCTTTGCACTACTGGAATCATTACAATAATCAAGATCTAATCATCTTGAAAACGTTTTGTCTTTCAGTTGATGTTTGTATATGTCAATTAGATTCAACGTAATTCAAAGTAGATCAAATCTCAAAGTGAATATCAATTCTATAATACAGGTAAACCCAATTAAAATATCCTAAATAGAATGAAATATAGATCCTGAGTCTTATTGTACGGCATATTCTCTGTACTCTATAAACTTGAAAAAGTTTTCAAAAAATCAATATTTTTCTATTTGTGCACAATAAGCACAACTGTCACAATTGATTGATCACTGGGTGGTGATCAATGTCACATGTGTAAAGTCCTTATTTAGTGCAGATCGAATGCTATTGACCATGTTGCAATGTGGCCACCAGTCTAGGTGACTCGACACTGTGTGCACTATATATTGAGATTAGATGGTGGTTGGAAGTAGTCGACAGGAGACCCTGGACCAGGGTTTCATGTTACATGGCACTCTTCAAGATGGAACTAGTGCTCCCCGACGGATTCGATCCCGAGTCACCCAGCTTCACTTGACTTGACTTGACACACATGACATTGATCACCATCCAGTGATCATTCAATTGTGATTACATCTCAGTCCTACAGGAAGTCAGTGGCGACCCGGATAGCTCTCTGACTGTATAAGATATATGATTAATCAACAATCGAAGAAATATTGATTACTGATTATCAGTGTATAGGTCTGCCAAGATTATCGAATGTCAATAATATTATGCATTAACCTATGTTAAATGCAGTAACCTCCATGAATATCTCCATTTATATACCGTGATTATTATTCCTTCATTCATTAGACAGATATATATCATAAGTTCATTGGTGATGGTTCACTGGAGTTCAAGTATAAATCCATAACTAGTAGAGTTCTATATATGTCAGGAGTGAGACAATTATCCATCAAGGAAAATCGATAAGGGTTGTAGACACTAATGCTATTGAATCCTAGCTCAATGGTCTAGAGTTTAATCGTTCGCAAATAAGACTAAAGGTCCTGAGTTCGATTTTCAGAATCATCGTCACGATTCCTTACTACTGAACAAAAAGAAAAATAACTA